TTTATCTAAAAGGCTGTTGGGAAGGGGAGGCTGGGAGTCCCAGAAACCCCTGGGTTTGGGATTGGTTGAAGCTGTGCCCAGGCCAGGCCAAAGGGGTGCTGCTGGCAGACTTAGGGTGCAGCCGGGGTGGAGGAGAGAGAGGATGAGAGAAGACCCCCCCCCCCGCTCCTCTTGGGCCTGGCCCTCCCAGCCTGTCTCATGGGCAGGATGGTCGGCCTCCGTTGAATTGGGCCTGGCTCCGTCCTCCCCCTGCCCCCAGTCTCTTCCAATGTTAGGATTTCCCTTCCCTGTACCTCTTTGATGGTGACCCATGTATGAGGGCGTCATATGTGAAGCTTTGAGGGAGAAAAGCAGCAGCCGGTGTGGGGCATTTCACAGAATGAGAGACCAGGGCCTCCTTGGCCTGTGGTTTTAGCTCCATTCCTGAGGCCCAGAGATAGGGTGCCTTGCCCTAGGGCTCCCAGCTCAGTAGGGGCAGTCGGGCTTCCCTCCCATCCCGTCTCTGCTCTCCTCCAGGCAGAGGCACGGTCTCCCAGAGATCCTGGAATCACTGCCGCTCCTGAGGTCTGGCTGGGGGACTTCCAGCCCCAGGACTGCGTGTGGGTCAGCAGGAGAGGCACTGGCGGTGGTTTGTGGTGGCCGTCCATGGACGCTGACTGAACGCCCGCCCAGGCCCTGTGTCCTTGGGAGGGAGCCCCGGCCAGAGCTGGATTTGAATTCTGGTTCTTTCTGACTTCAGGCCCATGAACACCTGAGTGCAAATCCAACCTCAGACACAGCTGGGCAAATAGTTATGTCAGCTCCATATTGCCTTAGTTTCCTCATCTGTAAAATGGAGATGACAGCAGCACCTACCTGCTAGGCCTGTTGTGACCTTCGAGGGAGCTCACACGTGGAAGGTCCTTAGCACAGTGCCTGACACAGGGGAGGCTCTGTATAAAGGCTGGCCCTCAGCATCTTGTCTGGGCCTCCCTTCCTCTCCTGGCCTTTCGTCCCCACTGTCGGATCTGGGGGAGTGTACAACAGTCAGGTGACATGCAGGTCGGGGCATGATGATGAGAGCCTCAGCCTTGCGCAGCCGGGGCTTGGGGTCCTCGCTGACCTCTGCCTGCCTTTCCAGGGCCGCTTCACGATTGCAGCCAAACACCACATCTCCATTGCTGAGATCTACGAGACGGAGCTGGTGGACATTGAGAAGGTCAGCAGGGGTGGGGGCTGCTTCCGGGGGGGGGGGGGGGGCAGGCAGAAGCTCCTTCCCTTCCCCATCCCGCTCTTCTCACGATCACGCCTTCAGCTGCTCGTCTCTCCACAGGCCATAGCTCATTACGAGCAGTCTGCAGACTACTACAAGGGGGAAGAGTCCAACAGGTAACTCCCTCTCCCGAGACCTCCCGTCCCATGCCCAGACTGGCGGGATTGCTGCCTGGCCCTCACCGCACCCTTCTCCCCACAGCTCTGCCAACAAGTGTCTGCTGAAGGTGGCTGGCTATGCCGCTCAGCTGGAGCAGTATCAGAAGGCCATTGAGATCTATGAGCAGGTGGGTGACGCCCAGGCCCCCTGATCTTCCTCTGGCCCTTTTTCTGGCCTCCTGCCAAAAGAACGGCCCCAGGGTGGGAGGCAGGGGGATGGCTGGGAAGAAGGGTGTGCCACGTGCCGCTCTGGGCTTCAGCCCAGCACTGGCACCACAGGGTTTGGGTCAGCTCCTGGGAGTGAGCTGGGGGGCCTGGGGCTGGGTACTGTCATCCAGTCTCCTCCCACCCAGTGCAAGAATCCCTTCATGCTGTGGGAGGTACTCTTGTGTGCCCTGTCCATGGTGGCCCAAGGACAACACCTGTCTGTGGCCTCCTTTGGGTCCAACCCATGGAGCTGGGGTGGGGGGAATGAGGGAAGGCGAGGTCCCCAGGCCAGGGGCAGGGGATGCAGGTGGCAGAGGGGCAGAAGCCAGCCTGGGGCTGCACAAAATGGTCAGTTTCAGTAGGGGACCACCGAGCTTCAGCAGGAGGTTGGATTGACCCCTGTCGAGGCAGCTGTGGTTCAGTCCCTCCCCTCCTGGAGCCCATCGGTTGTTATGTTCTCTGGGGTCACATGTCACAAGCCCCCAGTTTTAAGGTCCTGGGCACCTTGTACCAGGCCACGCAAAACCCTAGGAGAGGCTCTTGGAGCAGATGAGTGGACACAGAGTTAGGCAGAGTGTGGTTGGTGGAGACCCACCCCAACTTGGCCATTCCCCAGGACAGAGGGGAAGGAGAGAATGTCTTAGTGATGGAGGCTTCCAGTGGCTGTGCTGAGATGGGACAGATTTCCTTTCACGTCTGGCATCTGGGAGTGGGGGAGAGATGGGCGGGCACTGCTCCCAAACCATCTCTCAGCTGCCCCTCAGCGCCCCTGCTCTGCCAGCCTTCCCCTTCCCATTATGGAGCGGGCGCTGTGTGGGGTGGACATCTGGGTCCCCATGGTGATCCGAGTACAGGCTGCCTTCTGCGTCCTCCCTCCCACGCCTGCATCGCGTGGATGCCTTTTAGCAGGGGCCTACAGGGCTCGTGGGTGCCCAGAGCTGCAGGTTCTGCCAGGCCCAGGCCCCCCAGGCAAGCTCCTTCCTTCTGTCATATGCAGGTGGGGACGAATGCAATGGACAGTCCCCTGCTGAAGTACAGTGCAAAGGATTATTTCTTCAAGGCTGCTCTTTGTCACTTCTGCATTGACATGCTGAATGCCAAGGTGAGCGGCCCTGAGCCTCCTATTCCGCGGGCACAGCCAGTCCAAGGTGCTTGTGGGTAGTAGGGGCAATGGGATTCTGCAGGCCCCTTATTTCCCCTGCCTCAGTATCAAGTGGGACCTTTCTTACTCTTAAGTCACCATCCCCCCCATGTGACATTCCACTCCTCTCATGCCTCCATTTTGGGACCCCAAACCCTCGTTCTGGCACATTTCTGAGGCCTTCTGGAGGCAGTGGAGAAGGAGGGGAGCTGGGAGAGGGTGAGCAGGGGACACCCCCTTTCTTCTCCCCCTCTGGCCTCTCCCTGCCCCCTTCAGCCACCCTCTGTTCTGAAACCCCACTTGACACGGGGACATGGTCTCTAGAGGTGGAACTGGGCAGAGCGCCAGCGCACACAGCCCTGACAGCGGGCTGAGCCTGGGTTGCCGTGGCAACAAGGCTGGTCCCTGAAACCCCGTGCTGAGGAGCAGCCAGCCACTTCTGGCATTGATGTCTTTCTTGTCTCCCTCTCTATCCCCCATCCTGCCTCTGCCCGTTCCGTGCTCAGCTGGCCGTACAGAAATACGAGGAGATGTTTCCAGCCTTTTCTGATTCCCGAGAATGCAAGCTAGTCAAAGTGAGTGCCAAGGGCTTCCCCCTCCCCGGGGGTGGGGGTGGGGGCTGGGCACATTGCTGCTGCCGACAGGCCCACTGCCATACCTTTATTAAGGTTGCTCGTATTCGGTGGCCTTTTTTCACACGCATGTGTCCCCTGCCCATCTGTCCCCTGTCCGTGGAGAGCCTTAGAAAGTTGTCTAGAGCCCTGAGAGGGGAGGGCAGACTGGAACCCAGGTCCTTTTGGCTTCCAGGCCAGCTCTCACTTCACTGTCCTTCTCTTGTAGTAGTAGTAGTAGTAATAATAGCTAACAATTATGCGGTGCCTGCTGTGTGCCGGGCTCTGGGCTGAATGCTGTACAAACATCTCCTATGATTCTCACAGGGGAAGTGCTGTTATGATCCTTGTTTTACAGATGAGGAAACTCAGGCAAAGAGGTGAAATGACTTGGCCAGGGTCACACAGCTAGTAAGCTTCTGAGTCAGGATTTGAACTTGGGTTTTCCTGACTGGGTATAGCCAGACCTCACCCCAGGCTGGCTTCATTTTTGCTCTCTTATCCACGCCGGGCCTGCAGTTGCTGTGAATTTGAGACCCCTGGGACCCGAGCCCCATTACCCTCTTGCCTCTTCTTCCTACAGAAACTCCTGGATGCCCATGAAGAACAGAACGTGGATGGCTACACCGAGCTGGTGAGTGGCTCCCCCAGTGGGAGGGCTCCTGGTGCCCCGCTCCCCAGGAGGAGCCTCAGAAGGCTGCTGGCGCCTGCCAGCAGGTGATGGCCCCCTCTCTCCCCCATCCCAGGTAAAGGAGTACGATTCCATCTCGAGGCTGGACCAGTGGCTCACCACCATGCTCCTGCGCATCAAGAAGACCATCCAGGGGGACGAGGAGGACCTTCGCTAACCTCCCAGCCCTAGCCCCCGCGGGCCTTTGTCCTCCATCGTGGGCTCCCCCTGACCTCCCCTTTCACGGATGGCTGGGAGGAGGGAGGTGTGGGGAAGCCCTGCCTGGAGGCCTCTCCCCACAGCCGGAGGTCCATGCCCCGGCACAGCTGCACAGAACCAGGACTTCAGCCTAACCCTCTCACCCCGGAGGGGGGGCGGGATGTTTCTGTGCTTCCTTTTGGCCCCCGCCCCTGGGGGCCCCTCTGCTCAGGCTCTGCCCCCCCTTTCTATGCATCCTTTCCCCCAGGTCCCCCCCACCTCTCAGGTTTGGCCCTTCGGCCCAGGATGCTTCTCCTCTCCCCCTCCCGGGCCCCCCTCCCGCTGCGGGGCGGAGTGGGGCTCAGAAGGTTCCTGTGCATGTCTGGAGCGGGTCTGACGGGAGGATGACTGGAGAGCAAAAATAAACACTTTGGCATGAGCAGGCCTCGCCTTTCCCCAGGGGATGGTCTACCCACGCTTTGGGGTGGGCCCGAGCTGGCGCGCGGGGGGGGGGGGGGTTCGTGGAAAGCCTGGGCCAGGCTTCCCTGCTCTCGCAGGGACCCCCTTTCCTCGAAGAGGTTCGGGTTACGCCGGGGTGGGGGTGGGTGCTCCCCTTGAGGGGTCGCAGGGACGGGTCCTGTCACGAGCACGCCCCTTTGTTCCGTCCTGCCCCAAACCAAGGAGTGAGGGAAGCCGGGGTGGGGGTGGGGGAGGGGAAGGTTAGGCAGTCCCTGCTGGCCGAGCCCCGGGGAGGGGAGGAAGGAACCTCCTGCGTCATCGGTGGGCGCCGTCACGGGAGGCTGGGGCCGCCATCTTGGTCGAGGGCGGTGTTGCTGCCTCCGCTGACGTCATCAGCCGGCGCCAGTCCCGCCGTCGGGGCAACTGGGGCGGTTTGGTCGCTCCGGGTACCCCGCGGAGGCGATGTTAGCGGGCGCGGCGGGCGATCCGGGGCTGTGTCCCCTGGGCGAGGACAGCTTCACGCGCTTCTCGTCTCAGAGCAACGTGTACGGACTGGCGCGCGGCGCCCAAGGCCGCGGGGAGCTGCTGGCTGCCACTCTTAAAGGGAAGGTGCTGGGCTTCCGCTACCAGGACCTCCGACAGAAAATCCGCCCGGTGGCCAAGGAGCTGCAGTTCAACTACATCCCGGGTCCGCCCCGCGCATGCGCGTAAAGGACAGCGTCTTTTCTTCCCCCCCATTCCTTCCCCCTCCCCTTCTCCCTGTGCTTGCAGCATTTGTGTACGGCGGGGCTGGGGAGGAGGCATGCGCGAGCCTGGCGGGGATTGAGGCACGCCCCCCCCCCAGCGGGTTTAGGGGGCTGGGGGGGTCAAAGGATGTTAGGGTGGGAGAGAAGGGAGTGGGGTAAACTGGATGGATGGAGAGCGGAGAAGGAAAGGAAATGAGCTCCCCATCATCCAGAGGTGAGGGTTTGTGGTGGCTGGGATGCCCAGACTGGGATACAGAAGACCGGAGTTCAAATCCTGCCTTTAGTGTTTACTAGCTGTGGAACCGCGGGCGCTCGGGCAGCCCACTTCATCTCGCAGACTCAGTTTCCTCATCTGTCAAATGGGCTGTGGTGTGGCTCAAGCAGTCTTCTGGCAGCGCTGGACGACTCCTGGGTGGGGCCGAAGGACGCCAGGAGCGACCCTAGGGGCCGCGGAGCCCAACCCCCTCCTTTTACAGATGAGGACACTGAGGCCCGGAGAGCGCAAAGGGGGAGGCAGGGTCTGAACGGCGTGCCGCGGGGGAAGGGAGACACCAGCCCCCTCCCTCCCTTTCTTCTGCCCTGCAGTGGATGCTGAGATTGTGTCCATCGACACGTTCAACAAGTCGCCCCCCAAGCAGGGCTTGGTGGTGGGGATCACGTTCATTAAGGTGCCCGGACCCCTCCCCCCCCCGACTCAGTTTCTTCCTCTGTGCGATGGGGCTGGTAAGGGAGGGTTGGGAGTTTCAAATGAGATAGTGCCGGAAGTGGAAGCCATTGTAGACACTTCTTCCTGGTCTGGGGCCCCCCTCTCCTTGGGCCCTCCCATTTCATGCTCTCGCCCCAACCCCAAGACTTGGTGGTCCTAGCATACTAAGACTTCAGGTGCTGACCAGCTGTGTGACCTTGGGCAAGTCACTTCACCTCTGTCCTCTGCTGTAAAGTGAGGATTATAAAAAAGCCCCTTCTCCCCCCCCCCCCAGGATTGTCTTGAGGACCAAACGAGATCATAGCTGCAAAGGGCTTAGCACAGGCCCTGGCACACAGCTGGCGCCTAATAAATGCTCATTCCCTCCCCTCCCTATGATTCCTGGGTCACAAGACCCTAAGGTTTTAAGGTCCTGAGGTCAAATGAGACTGTAGCTGCAAAAGGTGTAGCCCGTGCCTGGCGCAGGGTAGGCACTTAATAAGTGTTTCTTCCGTCCCCTCCGTCTGTGGTCCTAAGGATGCTCCCCTCTCTCGCAGGATTCCGGGGACAAAGCCAGCCCCTTTCTCAACATTTACTGTGACTATGAGCCTGGATCAGAATATAACCTGGACTCCATTGCACGTGAGCTCGGGCTGGGGGGGTGGGGGCTGGGGGGAGGAGGTGCAGGATGGGCAGGATCACATCCGGACCCCTCTGCATCCTTCATCCCCCGTCTTGCAGAGAGCTGCTTGAACCTGGAGCTGCAGTTCACCCCTTTCCAGCTGGGCCATGCCGAGTAAGCCCTGGGCCCTGCGCCCCCCACTGTCTCCTCTTTGAGCAGCATGGGTTGGAGGAGAGAGTCAGAGACCTGGGTTCAGGTTCTAGCTTTTGCTGCTTCCTCCATGTGTGACCTTGAGCATTGCCCTTCCCCAGGACTAAGTTTCATGATCTCTGAAATCCCTCCCAGCCCTGACATCCCCTGTTCTAAGGCCCTCCCAGCCCTGACATCCCCTGTTCTAGGGCCCTTCCCTGAGGTTTTCTCCTTCCAGGGTCCAGGTTGGGGAGCAGCTGGAGACAGTGTTTCTGCTCAGTGGAAACAACCCTGCCATTCACCTGTATAAGGAGGTGAGGCCCGGGGTTGGGATGGCTCTGATGACGAGTGGATGGGGAGGGCCTAGATAGTCTACCTGGTGTGTGAGTGTGTGTGTGCGTTGTGTGTTCACGTGTGGGGTGTGTGTGTGTGTGTAGCAGGTTCCCCCCCCTCCAGCGGCCCCTCAGCCCAGGCTGTCCCGTCCTAGAACGAGGGTCTGCACCAGTTTGAGGAGCAGCCTGTGGAGAACCTCTTTCCTGAGCTCACAGACCTGAGCAGCAGGTAGGAGCGGAGCCCGCACAGAGGGCAGGGTGGGAGGGGTCCTTGAGCAGGGGCTTCAGGGCGGGGCTCACGAGGCTGCTGGGGGCTCTCTCCAGCGTTCTGTGGCTCCACGTGTCCAACATCCCGGGCTCGGGCCGGCGACTCACGGCCTTCGGCTGCCAGAGTGGATATGTCCGCGTTGCCCACGTGGACCAGACCACCAGAAGTAAGCCCCCTGGGATGGGGGGCGGGGATTGGAGGGAGGGGCTGGAGCCGGCTCTGAACCCTCCTCCCCCTTTCCTGCCTTCCCAGCTGTGCTGCACACCTGGACGGTCCAGCAGGATGGACCCATCTCCCGCGTCGTCATCTTCAGCCTCCCTCCCCCTGCAGCGGACCCCCCCAGCCCCCAGGGAGGAGGGGAAAGGTGAGGGGTGCTGTCTGCATGTGGACTGCTCGATCGGCCAGCCCCCCACCCCCACCTGCATCTCTCTGTCTTCTGATCTCTGGATTCCTCAGATCCCACGATTCCTAACGACCGCCGACCCTGGATGCCTTCACCCTCACCTTCCCATTGTGAGGGAGACTAGAGGGAGATGTGGTCGCAGGGTCCAGGCCCTCTCCCAGCTCCCTCCCCTTCCTCCCCCAGAGGCCAAGGGGCTGCCCCCGCCCCCAGAGGAGTACAGCGTCCTGGTGGCCAGTATGATGGAGCCCGCCGTGGTGTATCGGTGAGAGGACCCGGGCCGGGGCATAGTGTATGCCCTTGACACCCCCTCCCTCCCGGCCGGTGGAGGAGAGACCCCTCATTCTTCTGAGGGGGTGGGGAAGGGCTTCGGGCCTGGAGACAAGGCCTCTAGGGAGCGATTAGGGATGAGTGCCTCACAGTCTTGGCCAGGGGAAGAGGGTGTCTGGGCCACAGGTGATGGGAGTGGGAGGAGCCTGGCTTCTTGGTTTGAATACCAGGATGTCAGACCCAGAGCTTAGATCTGCCCGGCTCTTGGATGGGTGAAAGGTGACCTACCTAGATTGAAGTCTAGCCCTTCTCCTCTTGCCCCTGGGGCCCTAGGAACGTCCTGTCCCATGGGCTTCAGGATCAAGTGCTGCTGCCGGGGAGTGACCAGTTTGACAGCATCCTGTGTGGGCTTGTCACCGATGTGGACCTGGATGGGAAGCCTGAGATTCTGCTGGGCACCTATGGCCAGGTGTGCCTTGTCACGTTCTACTTTTGCTCATCTCCTTTCACCTCTCTGTGCTTCTGCCCCTCCGTGCCTCCCCCATCTTTGTTTCTTAAGTACTGATCTGACCTTCCATGTAGTCCAACCCTTGCCTCTCCACTCTGGTCTAACCTCTGACTCTGCACTCTGGTCTAACCTCTGACTTTTCCCCACTCTGGTCTAAGCTCTGACTCTCCACGCTGGTCTAACCTTTTTACTTCTCAACATACTGTTACTTTCATCCTTTTCATTGTGGTTTGATCAACAAGCATTTATTGAGCACCTGCTCTGTGCCAGGCACTGTGCTAAATGCTGAAGATATAAAGAAACAAAACCAATCTGTGTTCTTAAGGAGCTCACAGCACGATGGAGCCAGGGAAAGAGGGTTCATGGGTTCAGGTGATGGAGTGTTTGGTGTGAGGAGGGAAGTGCCAGGAGGCCGATGTCACTGGATTGAGAGGACGTGCTGGGGAAGTCAGGTGTGAGAAGGCTGGAAAGGTGGGAGGGGGCAGGCTAGGAAGGGCTTCGAATGCCAAGTAGAACATTTTGTATTTACTCCTGAAGGCAATAGGGAGCCATCAGAGTCTACTGAGCAGAGGGTGATGTGATGAGACCTGCATTTTAGGAAATCCCTTCGGTGGCCAAATGAGGAGGGATTGGAGTGGGGACAGACCTGAGGCTGGCAGAGGCCCCAGCAGCTGGTGCATTTATACAGGGGTGGGGGCCGTAGCAGCGGGGCCGGGGCGGGGGGGAGGAAGGGGGCGGATTCAAGAGATGGCAGAAGGGTGAAAACAACATATTGGATATGAGGGGAGGGGAAAGAGTGAGGAGTCCAGGATGACTGCTAGTTTGTGAGCCCGAGGGATGGGCAGTAAGGGGTGGGGAGGCTTGGGGGGAAAGATCACGAGGTCAATGTGGGATGTTTGAAAGGCAGTTGGAGATAGGAGATTGGGGGTCAGCAGAGAGACTGGGGCCAGGAAGATAGATGTGAGAATCATCAGCATAGAGACAGATGGTCATTAAATCCATGGGAGCTGATGGTTACCCAGTGAAGTTGTATGGAGGGACAAGAGAAGAGGGCCCAGGACAGAGCCCTGAGGGACACCTAGGGTCAGAGGGCGTGACTGGGAGGAGGACCCAGCGAAGGAGACAGAGAAGGAGCAGCTAGGGAGGGAGGAGAAGAACCAGGCATGGGGGTGGGGTGGAGAGAGAGAGAGAGGGAGGGAGAGATCTGAGAATGAGGGAGAGAGAGAGAATGTCCTAAAAACCCAGAGAGATGGGAGAATTGAGGAGGAGAGGGCGACCCACAGCGTCCCGGGCTGCAGAGGGCGCTGGCATGTCGGCCGCGTCCCAGCCCTGTGTCTGTCTCTGGCTAGCTCTGTCTCTGCTTCTCCGGCTCTCTAGTCTCTGGGCAGGGCCCCTGAGGCTTCCTCTTGCTCCCTGCAGGAGCTGCTGTGTTACAAGTTCTGCGAGGCCCCCAAGGCTGAGGCCGATTCTGGCTTCTGCCTGCTGTGGCACCGCAGTTTTGCCAGCCCCCTGCTGGCCATGGAACATGTGGATCTGACTGGGGATGGCCTTCAGGAGCTCGCCGTGGTCTCCCTGAAGGGCCTGCACATTCTCCAGGTAATCTGGCTGGCCCCCCATCAGGGTCAGTCCTTCAGGCCTGTCTCCCATTCCTCCTGGTCCCCTCCACCCACCCCTTCCTGGCTCCCCCCAGACTGGCCTTCCCTTCATTCCTCCGCTGCTTAGACCTCTGGGCCTCCCCTACGGTCTCCTCTGGCCCGTCCTGTCCTCCATCTCTTGTGTTCTGATCTAACCTCCATTGGGATCCTGGGGCCCTCCCACCACGGCGTCACCTCCATCCCACGCATCCTGGTCTGAGAGCTCTCCCTCACGCTGCCATCTCAGCCTGGTTCTCCTGGCTCTGATCTCACCCGCAGCACAGCCTAACCCAGGCGTCCCGACTGGTCCTGACCAGGCTTCGGCAGAGGGCCCAGCAGCGCAGACGACAGCCACAGGCACTGGGAGAGGGGCCCAGGACAGCTGAATACTCCGGCCTTTGAACCCCCTCATCCATTCCCCTGTGGCCCATCCATCCTCCACTCCAGAAGTTAGGACGTGGGGGAGGGTTATGCCCAGGGGCCTCTGCACTAGTGGGGTGGGAGGAAATCTTGGAGGTCAGATGATAAGCCTGAGAAGAGGCTGTCCCTCCCAGCCCCACAGTGTCATTGCCTTTCAGACGATCTGGGTTCGAGTTCAGTGTAGGAGCCCGATCTAATCTGGGACCTGGGACAGTCTGTAAAGTGGGGGTGATCCTCCCAGTCCACACACACACACACACACACACACACACACACACACACAAAGGGGCGCGGGGTGGGGTGGAGGTAATGCCTCTGGGGAAGTGAGGGAATGGGTCCAGTCTCTTTGCAGCCTGGGGATGAGGAGACCAGCTCAGAAGGGCCCCAGAAGTGACGTTGAGGAGGACGGAACCCGCCTGCCAAGCCGTGGTCAGGAGCTCACTGCCCACACTGGCTCCTCCTCCTTGTCTGGACGTCGGCCCCATCCTTGCTCCCCTGACCAGCTCTCCACACCTTAGTGCGCTGGTTTCAAGGTCAGAGCACCAGGGTTCGAGACCTTGCTCTGTCACTTACACTGTCTGAGCCTCAGTTTCCCTGCTCTGCAAAATAAAGGAGTTGGTTTGGATGATCTCTTAAGACCTCTTCATCTGTCCTGGCGCACAGTACACAGGTCAGGGAAATAAAAGAATGCGGTCGTTTCAGGAGGTCAGTAAGGGTTAAATGGGGCCTGGAAATGGGTGTGGGACGCACCTCAAAGGGAGCTTAGGATTCCCAGTTGGAGGTGAGGACCCAGAACTTTCTTCTATGGACTCATTCGAAGACTCACATGGGAGCCCGGCTATCCTGGAAGGCCGGTGTGTGGAGGGTGACCCTGACTGTCCAGGATGGCTGGTGTGGGAGGGGAGCCAGGTTAGGGAGAGCTTTAAATGTCTGCTTCAAGAAAGTCCAATGTGGGGGCAGCTAGGTGGCGTGGTGGATAGAGCACCAGCCCTGAAGTCAGGAGGCCCTGAGTTCAAATCTGGCCTCAGACCAAACACTTGACACTAGCTGTGTGACCCTGGGCAAGTCACTTAACTCTAATTGCCTTAAAAAAAAAGTCCAATGTGAGAGGGAAGGATTGGGCACCATCATCACCAAGGTGGTGTGATAACAATGATTCCAGGGACCTCCAAGCCAGTCATTGCTGGTCAGCCCCACAGCTCTTCTGTCCATTTCTTTCTTGGTGTAAAGGCACCAAGAAGTGCATATCATAAGGAGGAAAGCGATCTGTTAGATGCCTTCACCAACATGGAACCTCCACTGGGTCTGCTCGGCTACCAGCATCTTTTCAGCAAGGCAAGGATTCCAGGCTTGCACACAAGGGTGCTGAAGACCAGGTGTCTCTTCTGGGCCTGGTTTGTTTGTTTTTCAATCACTGTCAGAGAAGGAACTATCCTTCTAATCAACACATTTCCTTTAATGATGGCAAACAAGTCAACACACATTAGGGAGGGCTCTAAATGTTTGCTGTGGAGGTTGAATTTCACCCTGGAGGCTAGAGAGAGCCAGTGAATACTCCCTACCCCCTCCAGGGTTGGAGGCTTGCTTCAGGCTCTTGGGTCTCAGGCCACCCTTGGAGCTTGGGTGGGGGGGTGCCTCGCAGTCCCAGCTGGCTGACCACCCTTACCCAGAGGAGAGGGACTGGGGTGGGGGAAGGCTTGAGGTGGCCAGGGACTGGAATGAGGTTATGGGGCTGGGGTCCTTATCCCCCCCCCCTTCTCTTGACTTTTTCTGCCCTGACCGTCACTCTTCTCCTGCCCAAGGAAACGGGAGCCAGAACAGAGGGTCCCCTGGTGTATGAGATGGTGAGGCTGAAGGGAGAACAAGTCCCCAGATTCTTGGCTTATGGTGTCTCTGCTTCTGTGGCCTCAGCCTTGGAGGATACTATAATTTCTCCTCCTCGCACCTACTCCCTGTGGTTAGGAGAAGCTTGGTCCTGGGGGATGGGACAATGCTTTTAGAGGCCCCCCCACCCCAAGAGTACAGACCCAGCCAGATTTGGGTCGTGGGAAGGAGCAGCAGTCAGCCTGTGCCAGGGGGTAGTCTGGGGCCAGAGCTGGCACAACCCCTCTGGCATGCCTGCCTCTCCTATTTTCTTTCCCTGACCCAGAGGAAGGAGGCTGGGGCCTGATGGGGAGGGGCCTTTAGGACGGAGGGAGTCTGGCTGTTCAACTGACTGGTGAGAAAAGCAACCGATTTGTATCTGAGCTGGGGACTGTGTGTGTGGCTCTGAGATCATATGAACCCGGACTGTGTCAGTGTGTGAACCTGGAATTGTGAGTCTGAGCTTGTGTGAACCTGGCATTGTGTGTGAGCTTGTGTGAACCTGGCACTCTGTGTGTTTTTGGTGAACCTGGGATTGTATCTGAGTTTGTGTGAGCTTGGGTTTGAGTCTGGAACTCCCACTCTGAATTCTCCCCACCTCCCCTCAGCTCCCTGGCTCCCTCTCCCTGGTGCTGAATATGAATCTATACCCCACCCACCCTAGACAAAGGAGGGTCTCTGATCCTTTCTCCTCCCTCCTGGCCCCTCCTCCTCTCCCCTTTTCCTTTTCTCCAGGATCTCTCACACCTCCTCTGTCATCCCTTATCTCTGCTCTCTCCTCTCTGGGCTGCCTACCTCCATAGGTCCTCCCCGTCCCTGCCCACCCCACCCCCAAAGCCCTCCCTACCTTCCTCTCCCAGCGACCCACCTCACTCGCCTTTCTTCCTCCCCAGGCCCTCCACCCCAAGGCTTTCCCTCCTCTTTCCCCTCTCCTCCCTCCTCTCCCCTCTCCCTGATCCCTCCCACCTGCTCCTCTTCCCCTCCTTTCTCCTTTCCCAGCTGCCTCCCTCAGCTCGGTCCTCTCCCTCCTCCGTCTTCCTCCCAGCTTCCTCCTCCTTCCCTGGCTCTCCTCCCCTTTCCCGTCCCTCTTCCTGCTCCTCTCCCCCTCCTTTCCCTCACTCCCCTCCCTCTCCGTCCCTCCCCTCCCTCTCCTCAGCTCTCTCTCTCTCTCTCTCTCTCTTTCGGTCTCTCCCTGGCCCTGGCTCCATCTGTCTCTCTTCCCATGTCTCATCCCCTCTTTTAATCTCCCCCATCTCATGCTTCCTATCTCTGTCTCACTCTCTGGCGGAGCATTGTGACCCGAGAACCAGCAGGTAGGAGCCCCCAAGCTGGGTAAGGAGAGGGGGGGTTGGGGAGTGGGATGGGAGGGAGATTATTGGTCACAGTTGGGGGATCCAGGCCCCTAGACTGGTATGTGCTGGTGAAGGAGGGTGGTGTCCAGGACTAGTCTATGTATGGGAGATTGAGTCCCACAGACTAGTCTGTATGAAGAAGATAAAATCTTACAGACTGGTCTGTAATGAAACTGGGGGCCCTCAACTGATCTGTGCTGGGAAGGGAGGCCCCCAGGTGGTCTGTCCTGGGAAGGGAAGGAAGGTCTGTGCTGGGTGATGAAGATGTGGGTTCCAGATCTTTCCTCCTCTAACCCTTGGTGCGAGGTGTGGGGGATGATTTCTTAGGATTCCGGGGCATAGAGCATCTGTGGCCTCTCTGGCTCGTGGTACCTGTCCATGGTCCTCTCTGTCTCTTTTCTGTATATGTGTCCCTTACCTTCATGCCTTTCCATCTTTCTGTTTCTTTGTGCTGCTCCTGTCTGTGTTCTCCGGGTCTCTTCAATCTCTTTCTGTCCCTGATTCCCTCCTCTCATCTCTCTCTCTCTCTCTCTCTCTCTCTCTCTCTCTCTCTCTCTCTCTCTCTCTCTCTCTCTCTCCATCCCCCTCTCCATCCCCTTCTCCCTCTCCCCTCTCTCCCCTCTTCTTTCCCCCAGAGCCTGGTAAATCCCGCCCACACACTCATCTCCACCCCCGCTTGCGGAGGCGGGTTTCAGGAGGGAGGGGTTTGAAATCAGAGGGGGCCCCATGACTGTTCCCACTACCTGAACTCACACAATCGTCAGATGGAAGGGTTTCCATCCTTTCCTCTTCTCCACCCCATCTCGGTCTCTCTAGCTTAACCCCTAGCCACCCCCTCCCCCTATACTCAGGTCTCCCTAGGAGTCCTGACTGTATTCTGACCTCCATCCTCCCCTCCCTTGGGGGGCTGGCTTGCCAAAAGAAGAGAGATAGAAGACGAGGGTTCTGAGGAAACTAGTGTGTGTGTGTGTGTGGGGGGGTGTCTTTTCATTAACATACCCTTTCCCCTGTCCCTGGAGGCCAATGTTTATTTCCTGAGGGGTTTGCTTAAGATGGTTCTTCCTGAAATCGAACTCCTCGTCCCAGATTAGGTCCATGGAGAGGGGGTCAAGAAGATGGGGGCAAAGTGAAGATGACTGTGTTGGGTGTGTGTACATGTGTGTATGTAAGTGGTGTCTGTGTGTCTCTGTGATTGTGTTTCAGCCAGGTGACGGTGGGACCAAGTGTCTATTTCAGACATGTGGCTCTGTGTATGTGTTTTCCTGGTGATGTAGTTTATGGTTGCATGTGGCTATCCATATGTGTAGTTGATTATATGTTAGTATTCTGTAACTGTTTTCAGTTATGTAGCTGTGTGATTGTGCATTCATGCCTAGGAAATGTGTGTGTGTGTGTGTGTGTGTGTGTGTGTGTGTGTGGTGCTGTGTGGTTGTGACATGCCCAGAGTTGGGCATGGACTGTGGTTGGCAGGGTGTGTGTGTGTGTGTGTGTGTGTGTGTTCACTGGAAGGGGCTATGCTCTTCACATTCACAAGCAGAAGACCCAGTGCCTTGTACAAAGCCATGGACACATTATCGAACAGCTGCTTGCCAGTCACACACACACACACACACACACACACACACACACACAAGCATATGCCCAAAGAAGCGCAGGCACCTGGAAGGAAGAGGAAACTTCCTGCCTGTACCCATCCTGGCCCACAGCCCAGCCAGCAGCGAAAGATGGGGGTCAGACTATGGGAAAGACTTACCCACAGCCCCTAGAAAGTTAAGATGTCCCTGACAAAGAGAACAGATCCAGCCCCCTCGGGATTATGTGACCCAGGCTCATCAGGCCCAGGATCTCAAAGCCCTGATCAGGTTTCAGGTCAATGTCAGGGAGAGAGAAACGCTGATACCTCCCAGCATTAGAAATTGGGTGGCTGCTAAGAGGTGGTTACTGGATGTGGGGGTCAAGGGGGTACCTCCCAGGCCTACCACTGGGAAGTCCTTCCTATGAGTCTGCCCACCCTCCCTCCTGCTGCAGGAGCAGAGGTAACAATGACTCAGTAAGAAGGAAGCCGAGATCAGGGGAGGGTAGGGGAGGGGAGAGGGAGCAGACACACTGTCTCTGAGTGCTCAGGGGACACCTAGTCTTGGCCTGGCCTCCCTCCTCCCTGCTTTCCCCCACCCCCACCCCCCAGCTTTTAATAGTCAGAAATTGGTTGCCATGACAGCTGGGAGGAGGTGGGAGCTGCTTCTGTCTCTTATGTGTTGTGCCATGTCTGTTACTGTCCCCATTCCCTTAGCCCAGAGGGTCCCAAATCACCATCTTGTGGGACCATGGGGAGGGAGAAGGGGGCTCCAAGCTAGGAATTCTGCCTCCTTCTATCTCTCCACTCACTGCCTCATCTCTCTGTCTTCCTGTCCCTTCCTGGTCTCTGTCTCTTTTCTGTCTGTCTCACTTTGCCTCTACTCCCGATTTCTCTGTGTCTCTCCCTTTCTCCACCTCTCTCAGTCTGTCTATCTGGTCTCTCCCTGTGTGTCTCCCCATCTGTTTGGTCTCTGCCCTCGTCTCTGTGGTCCTCCCTTTCTCCATCTCTCTTCTGGTCTCTTTGTTTCTCCCTGTCTCCCCCACTCTCTCTGTCTGGTCTCTCTGTCTTGCTCCCTATTCTTTTTTGTTTTTACCTTGGTCATCGAGATGTGTCTGTCCCCACCTAGTTTTTCTGGTTCTCTTATTCTATTTCTGCTTCATCTCTCTGTGTGGCTCTCCCTCTGTTTTTGAGAATCTTCCTTGAACCTGAAACCCCAGTGTGTGTGTGTGTGTGTGTGTGTGTGTGTGTGAGGAGAGACAAGTTGAGTCAGAGCCATATTCTATTCCCTAAGTGAGGAGGTCAGGGAAGATACTTGTCATCCCCCCTCCCCTACTTCCTCCCTCCTTCAGGACCATGGGCTTGGGAGGACAGAGGGTAGAATTTATCTCCTTTTTCTGACTTTCTTCCCTGTCTCTGTGAGGGTGTGTCTTTCTTCATCTCTGTGTATCTCTGTCTCTCTTTGCTGCTTTATGTATCTGTGATAATATTCCCATGTCTTTGCTAGCACCCCCAGCCCTCCCATAACCTTCTCACCTGACTGCCCTTCTTTATCTCTACCCAACAGACCAGGTTCATACTGCACTCCTTTCCCTGTCTCTCCATGGCACCCTCACTAGCTCTGGCTGGGGCTGCCCTCCTGGCAGGTGTGGCCCCTTGCTCTGGGGACACCCCTGCCTCAGCTTCCCCCCCACCGACCTCAAGTCCCAATACAAGCCAGGAGAGCAGCTGCCCTGGTTCTACACGCTGTCAACCTGGTGTCCTGCTGCCTGTGTGGGAGCCAGATGATCCATCACTGGGAGACAAAGCTGCCAGAGCTGTGGTCTACTTTGTGGCCATGGTCTACATGTTCCTGGGTGTGTCCATCATCGCTGACCGTTTTATGACCTCCATCGAAGTCATTACATCCAAGGAGAAAGAGGTCACCGTCACCAAGAGCAATGGGGAAACCAGTGTGGGCACTGTACGCATCTGGAATGAGACTGTCTCCAACCTGACTCTCATGGCCCTGGGCTCCTCTGCCCCTGAGATCCTCCTCTCCGTCATCGAGGTGTGTGGCCACAACTTCCAGGCTGGGGAGCTGGGGCCGGGCACCATAGTGGGCAGTGCCGCGTTCAACATGTTTGTGGTCATTGCCGTTTGCATCTATGTTATCCCACCTGGAGAGAGCCGACGCATCAAGCATCTGAGGGTCTTCTTTGTCACAGCCTCCTGGAGCATTTTTGCCTACATCTGGCTCTACCTCATTCTAGCTGTTATCTCTCCTGGTGTTGTCCAGGTAATGTTCCACCAAATCCAGGCTGCCCCTTCTGCCTCACTGCTCCAAGGTTGCTTTGCCTAAACCCAGATCCCAATCCGCTTCCTCCCCTTGCCACTCTGACACTATATGCTTCTCATATCTCCCTCAGTATGGTCCAAGTAAGCTCCCCTTCTGTCTCTGTCCTCACCCTTAACCTGCTGCCTGGGTCCCCTACTACCCTCTTCCCTTCTGACCCTACCACTTCTAACCACTACCCCCAAACCTGTAGGTCTAGAATCACCAGATTCCAAGCCCGCCATTTATAAGCATAAAAATAATAGCTCCCATTTATAGAATGCTTTAAGACTTTTAAAGATGGTTAGCTCCTCCTTCCCCTCCCCTCCAGGACTATGGGGGAAAGGGAGGAGGAGACAGCAGAATTCTTTATAAAGGATTATGGGCTGGGGGGGGCAAGGAAAGTCCTGTCTTCCTAAATCTCTCTTTTCTGTGTATTTTATCCGAATGGAATATCTTTATTTCTTTCCACTTTCACCCCTCCAGGCAGAAGGGCGAGGCATCAGATTAAGGTTGAGGGTCCTCTCGGAGCTGGGAAGCTATCAAAGGGATAAGAAGACAGACAGACAGAAATCTTTGAGAATGAGTGAGACACAGTAATAGAAGGAAAAATGTGGAGCGAGGGAAAGATAAGACCAGAGAGGAGGGAGGAAGAGAGACAGATCAAGAAGAGTGAGGACTAGAGAGGCAGAGGCAGAGAAGGAGGAGATATATAGAGATGAGGAAAGAGATGGATGAAGATGGGGAGTGATGAAAAACTGAGCTGGAGGGAAAGATGGGGAGGGGGAGAGAGAGAGGGAAGAAGGGAAGGAGGGACAGACACAGAGACATTGGCTTATGGGAGCACCAGACAGAAGAGGGGAAGCTCAGCTTCTCTCTTAACCATTCCCCCTTTCTCGCTCCGTCCCTTCCCTGCTGTGCTTTGCTCCAGGTGTGGGAAGCCCTGCTCACTCTGGTGTTCTTCCCGGTATGCGTGGTCTTCGCTTGGATGGCCGACAAGCGCCTGCTTTTCTACAAGTATGTCTACAAGCGTTACAGGGCAGACCCCCGAAGTGGCGTCATTATCGGGGCAGAGGGTGACTACCCCAAGGGCATCGAGATGGACGGCACCTTCGTGGGGCCGGATCATCACCGCGTAGAGGCTGGGATCGGGCCGGGGCCAAGCCCCGAAGACCGTGAGCTGGACGAGAGCCGAAAGGAGGTGATTCAGATTCTCAAAGACCTGAAACAGAAACACCCCGACAAAGGCCTGGACCAGCTGGTGGGCATGGCCAACTACTATGCCCTTCTCCACCAGCAAAAGAGCCGAGCCTTCTACCGCATCCAGGCCACACGCCTCATGACTGGTGCCGGCAACGTGCTTCGGAAGCACGTGGCTGACGCCTCCAGGAAGCCGGCCCTGCTTGACGGTCCCGATGAGGAAGAGGAGGACGGGGCCAGCCATATCTTTTTTGAGCCCAGTCTGTACCACTGTCTCGAGAACTGCGGCTCTGTCATGCTCTCTGTCGCCTGCCAGGGTGGGGAAGGAAATAGCACCTTTTATGTTGACTACCGCACTGAGGATGGTTCTGCCAAGGCTGGCTCGGACTATGAATACAGGTGAGATCCCTCCTCCTCTCCCATCAGCCACCCAGCCTCCACCCCCAGCCTGCTGCCTCCCTGGACCCTAAGATTTTTTGTTCTGCCATTAAGCATCATTGGAGCTGACCAGCTCCTATATACTGTGGCTCTGCTCCTGGTGGTTGATTTAGGAGCTGGGGCTGGGGGAAGAAATTTATCTGAGGAGAATAGAAGAGTCGTGGTGACAGAGATATTTTTAGGGTGGAAGTGGAATTTTTGTAGCTAGGATCCTGTGTTCCCAAGGGACCCTGGCCCAATGCAAAAGTTTGGGGGTGGGTAGGGAAGGGTAGGAGGAGCGAGTTCCTTGAAAAGACAGATTATTTCATAAATCGGAGACTTTTTTTTTTCCAAGTGGGAAGTTTCTTGTAAGGAAATACCCTTCACTAATACAAATCACCACTTTCTCTTCAACTTCATGTCAGATTACTGAGTGGGGGCTCTGAGAGGTGACTTCACTTGCTCAGGCCCACACAGCCAGGATGTGTGAGAGACAGAATGTGAACCCATCTCTCCCTGACTTTGAGAGCTAGCCACTATCCTGATGGCTGCCTCGTTAATGGAAATCAATTAATTACTATGCATCAGTCACCAGTAGGAAGCACCCCCCCTTTTCATTAGGGATGAAGATAGGAACTGAGGCTGTGACCTCATTGCTATGGGGCACTCCAAAATGAGGGAACTTTCTCCTCCAGAGCAGATCCACACAAGCTCTGCCACTGAAAGACTGGCTCTCTATCCACTAAAACAGGATGCCCTTCATGGATCATCAGTTCCAATTTCCTGTGACTTTGCTGGCCCCCACCCCATCCCCAGCCCTGAGATGAGCTTTGGGGGTGGCTGAACAAAGGGAGCCCTGGGGTGATTCTTGGGAGAAGGGGAGGGAGCCTCCCATCTCACTAGGGAGAAAGGGCTTCTTCCCAGTCCCTGAAAGGAACCCTCTAGCCCCAGGAGAGAACCCAGGGCCACTCCACCAGTCAGTCACCGGAGAAGTTGGGGGAGGGAATTGGGAAGGCAATCCAAGAAGGAGACTCTGCTGAAGTGAAAATGCAGAGGTGGAAAGGAGTAAGCTATGTTCTGTTTTAACACCTGGGAGCTGTGAGTCTCCTCCCCTCTCCTCCCCAGCTAGACTGGAGGGATGGGGAGGGGACCCTGAGGGTGGGGCCATGAGCTGCTCCTTCACAGTCTCCCCTAGACTTCTACGCACTTTAGGGTGGGGTGTTTGGTAGCCAGGTTAAGACTCCTGGCTTTGCCTCAACTCCAGCTATATGACTTTGGGCAAATTCCTTCCTCTCTCTGGGCCAAGGTTTCCTCACTTGGAAAAGGAGGGGATTAGAACAGCATCTCCAAGGTTCTAAAAGGAAGATTCTAAGATCCAGGCTGTATGATAACTCCTGTTTTTTTTCCCCCTATGAATCCCCTAAAGTGAGGGCACGTTGGTTTTCAAGCCTGGTGAGACCCAGAAGGAGCTACGCATTGGCATCATAGATGATGACATCTTTGAGGAAGATGAACACTTCTTTGTGCGGCTGATGAATCTGCGGGTTGGCGATGCCCAGGGCATGTTCGAGCCTGACGGCGGTGGGAGACCCAAGGGCCGGCTGGTGTCCCCTGCCCTTGCCACGGTCACCATCCTGGACGACGACCATGCGGGCATCTTCACTTTCCAGGACCGGCGGTTGCATGTCAGCGAGTGCATGGGCACTGTGGATGTCCGAGTGATCCGCAGCTCTGGGGCCCGAGGCACCGTGCGCCTGCCCTATCGCACGGTGGAGGGCACGGCTCGTGGCGGGGGTGTCCACTATGAGGATGCCTGCGGGGAGCTTGAGTTTGGAGACGACGAGACCATGTGAGGGGCTGTGAGCTGATAGGGCAGAGGGGAGGGCTGAGTGGCTCATCCCTAGGGGTCAGAGGGATTGTGTCCCTAGGGAGAAGGGGACACCAAGGAATTTTCAGAGAGACTCAAAACAGAAATAGGCCTAGAGAGAAAGACGTTCTGGCTTTGGTCCAAGGGTGGAACAGGAGTCCTTGGCGGGGGGAGAAAGGGCCCCATGTGTCATCCTCATGCAGGGAGAGTTTTCTGGCTGGGGATGGGCCCTCATCTCTCTTCCCTCTCTCTATCCTCTCCCCTAATTAGCCATGTTTGCCAATAGGCCCCACAGGGGGCCAGTGAGTGACTCACTGCAGGCTGGGTTGGCAGAAGAATTGAGATGGAGGAGAACAGGGAGGAGTGGGGAGGAACTGAGGAAAGCATTGGACCCCAGAAAGACACAGATGGCCAGGGCTGGAGGGCGGTGGGAGAGAAAAGCCCAAGCCCTGGGTGGGCAGAGAATGTTTTCAGAGCTGTTAGCGCAGCAGGTGGGATGGAGGCTAGAATGGAGGTAGATTCCCCGAGCCTGGTCCCTTCTCCCCTCACCCTACAACCCCCAAATCTAAATGTACAGATTTGGTCTGAATCTGTGCCTTCATCAATGTGAGGGAATTCCCAGTGTGGAAACTCCCTTCATTGATTTAGGTCAGCAACTCGTCTGTAACTTACTTACAGTCTTAGGTGCCTAGATCACTGAAAATTTAAATCACTCAACAGTCAGAATGTGTCAAAGGCAACACTTGAACCCAAGTCTTCCTGACTTTAGGGCAGCCCTCTGTCCAGTATTCCAGTATGCCTCTCAAAAATGCACAGTTCCATGTTCAGATGTGGAGAGAGATCCAGAGGCAGAGACATGGAGTGAGACACAGGGACACACATGAGGCCCGACAGGTGACAGCAAAGAGAGAGACATGGGGAGATGCAGAAATAAGTGCCCAAGGGAGACCTAGATCCAGGAAGATATGTGAGGAAAGAGATACAAGAAGACAGACACTCTGAGACAGGAAAATCAGATATACATGGAAATATGCAGATGATACCTATGGAGACAAGGACCCACTGACAGACACGTAGATGTGGGAAGAATTCTTGCGTAAGCCTCTCTCCTCTTTCCCCCAATCTCTTTCTCCCTACTTTTCTCTTTCTCCCTCATTCTCTCCCTTTCTCTTTCCCCCATCTTTCTCTCCTCCCCTCTCTTTCTCCCCATCTCTTTTTATCCTTCCCTCTCTTTCCTGTCTCCCATCCTTTCTCTTCCTCCTTCCCTCTCCCTTTTTTCTCCCTGTCTCTCCTTCTCCTTCCTTCTCTTTCCCTCTTTTTTCTCTTTCCTCTCTCTCTCCATCCTCTCTCTTCCTCCTTCCTCTCTCTTTCTCCTTCCCTCTCTTTCCCTCTTTTTCTTTCTCTTTTTCCTCTCTCCCCATCTCCTTTCTTTCTCCCTGTCTCTTTCTCCTTCCTCTCTCTCTTTCTCCTTCCATCTCTTTCCATCTTTCCCCTTCATCTCTTTTTCCTTCTCTCTCTTTCCTTCTTTCTCTTTCTCTCTTCTCTCCCCACCCCACATGAACATGATCACGCACACTCAGACAGACTCCATCCATCACTTTCCACCCTCGCACTGCCACTGAGGAAGCTGCCAGCCCTTGCCTTCCCTCCCTCCACCCTCCATTCCAAAGACAGAGATGGAGCTGGAGCCCTCCCAGCTGCTGCCTGAGCCTTCTGTTCACAGATCTGGGCAACAGAGCTTCATCCCCCATCCTCCCCCACCAAAATCACTGTGCATCGGGGCTCCTGTGTCACAGACAAGGTGGAGAGAGACACCAAGAGAGAGATACAGACATAGATGCTCAGAGACAGAGAGGGAGAATCTTATGGAGACAGGGAGACTGAGGGAGTGTCATTCTCAGGAAGCCCAGATCTTGTCAAACCTCACACTTTCCTCCTGTTTCATGACCCTGTCCCTTCCCTGTCCTCATTCATCCTGGGTGTATGAGAGCCTCTGCTCTCTGCTCTCTGCTCTGTGTGTGTGTGTGTGTGTGTGTGTGTGTGTGTGTGTGTGTGTGAGAGAGAGAGAGAGAGAGAGAGAGAGAGAGAGAGAGAGAGAGAGAGAGAGAATAAGAAAGAGAATACAAGCCCAACATGGTATATGAAATAGGTGACAGAGGCCTAAGAGGGAATCCAGAGACCTGGGTTTGGCCTGTGCCGACCCTTAATAGCTATGTGACTTTGGTCAAACACCTTTACCTCTCTGACCTCAGTTTCCTCTTCTGTAAAATGAGGGAGTTGGATTAGATTAGCCCCCCTTTAGTTCTGAGAATCCAAGCGGGTTCAGAAATCTGGGTTCAGCACCTTGGACAGTCCCTTAAGGACTGTCCTTCAGAATGATTTCTTGGGGTAGCTTTTCTTCCCACCTACAGGAGTTTAAAATATATGGGAGGGGAAAGATAAGGTACAAATGGGAAGGTGGATATTGGAGTGGGGCGGTGTGTGTGTGTGTGTGTGTGTGTGTGTGTGTGTGTGCATGCTCATGCACATGGCTCATGTGAACTGTCATGACAGTTGTATGGATTGTGTCACATCTAAACTTTGTCTCCTTTAGCACAGGACCCTGGACACAGTAGGCATTTAGTAAATGTCAGTTGAATTGGATTGAACTAAACCAAATTGGAGTGCATACCTGTGCTATGTGATTCTGCAAGTGCTATTTCTGATGACAAATGTTGTTGGATGTATGTGGTGTGGTTGCATGTTTTATGGTGCTATGGTTCTGTGTGTTGTGTGATGCTGTGATCCTGTGGTGAAAGCTTGGCTGTATCTGTATTATCTCTGTATCACTGTTGTCTACAGTGTGCTTGTTGTGTGATAGTGTTGGTGTGTGGCTATGCTTGGCAACAATAACAACAACAACAATAACAACTCCTATTTCTATCAAGCTTTAAAGTCCACAAAGCACTTTTATAGACATTATATCATTTAAGCCTTCTAATAACCCTGTAAGTTAGGGACTACAGGTGCTGTGCCCACTTTATTGATGAGGAAACCGAGGCTTAGGGAAAGAAAATTTCATAGTATCAAAGACATAGAGCTAGAAGGATCCTCAGAGGTCATCCGGTCCAAGTCCCTCATTTTACAAATGGGAAAGTAAGGTGTTAAATGATTTGCCCAGGGTCACGAAATGGTCAGTTCATCAAGGCTGGATTTGAAGCCAGGTCTTTTGATTCTACGGTCAGCTTGCTTTCCATTATACCACACAGCTAGGGTCACACAGCTAGTAAGTTTTGGATGTGGATTCAGAAGCTTTTAGGTATCTGCTGATACCGTGTCCATCATTATTTCCTCCATAGCTTTTATTAGTGTGTGACTGTGTGTTGAGCAGTTGTATGATTAAGTGCCAGTATTACATGATTGGATGTCAGTGTAGTTGTATCAGTTTTTGTTTGTGTTATACAGTGAGGTGTCAGTGTTTTCTGACACCATGTGTCTATTTTGTGTGTTTTGTGACTTTGTGTCTGTAATGTGCAATTGGACACAACGTCTGTGCTCGTTGTGAAGCTCTGCATGTGTGTGATGCTGCTGTGTGACTGGAGTGTTTGTGTTGGGGTCTATGACTGTGAGGCAGTTTTCTCCCTGTTTTTCCCCTTCCCAAATCTGAGCCCAGTTCTCATGGTGATGGAGATGATGGAGAAACCAATTAGTGTCCAATCAACCCTCATGAAACTCAGGAGCTGTCAAGGGGTGGATCAGAATCAGGCTTATGAGGGCTTAGGAGGAATCCCGAGGGGCTTGGAAAGAGTCCCCAAGAGAGGACTCAGGCCCCTCATGGATGGGCAGCAGGAATTCCTCCCTCGTCTCTCTCCCTTTTCCAACCAGGAAGACTCTCCAGGTGAAGATAGTGGATGACGAGGAGTATGAGAAGAAAGACAACTTCTTTATCGAGCTGGGCCAACCCCAGTGGCTGAAGCGAGGGATCTCAGGTGGCTGTGGCTATGGTTTGTCTTGGGGGGTTTGGGAGGCTCAAAGGGGCTGGGCCAGAAGATGACAGGATTCAGTTTAGTAACTGAATGAAGGAAGGCATAGAGGAATCAGATTTGGGAGGATGGATAGGAGAAGCCGGTGGGCATAGGTGTGGGTGGGCAGGGGTTTCAAGGAGCATCAAGGATGAATGGGGATAGATGTGGCCTTTAGGGGAAAGAGGATCTGAGAGGAAGAGGGACAGGGGACCCTAGGACCAAAGAAACAAGGGTAGAGCCACTAGCCCCTGATCAGAACCATGGATAGTACCCAAAGCCCCGTTCTCTCCTGGGTAGAGTAGAATAGAGTGGGTTAAAGGGGAAGGGTGTCTGAGAAAGTAGGATTGTCTCAGATGAGACCCAATTAACACTCTGTCTTTCTCTGTCTCTCTCTCTTTGTCTTTCCTTCCAGCCCTCTTGCTCAATCAGGGTATGTAGGCTCAAGTTACAAAGGTCTGAGATTGGGGGAAAGGCAGTATTGGGGCTGAGATTTTTTGTTGCAGATTCTTGGAGGTGAGATTGCCCTTAAAAATAAGGTTGGGCTGGGTTTAGAATTGAGATGTGGTCAGGATTGGGTTAGGGTCATAATTAGATTTAAGATTTGTGACCAGATTGATTGATTGAAAGTTAGAGTCAGTTTCAGGGTCAGGATTAAGATTGAGTAGATTGAGTCCAGGTTTTACTCTGGGGTCAAACTTTGACTTAAGATTAGAACTAAGATTAAGTTTGCCTTAGGATTCAGGATAAAGTTAGTTGGCATCTCAGCTACTGTCAGGGATCGAGGTCAGATTTATGGTTAGGATTAAGATTATATTCAAGGGATAGGTAGGTGGTGAAGTGGAGAAAGCACTGGCCCTGTAATCAGGAGGACATGAGTTTAAATCTGGCCTCAGATGCTTACTAGCTGTGTGACCCTGGGCAAGTCACTTAACTCTGATTGCCTCAAAAAAAGGAACTATATTCAGAGTTAATCTGAACATGGATCACAGGATTTTGAACATTAGATTTGAGAGGTGCATCAGTTTTAGAGTCAGGATTAGGGTTAGGGTTGATACTGCTGTGAAGAAGGCATTCAGGTCAGGCTTAGATTTAAGATGCATATATTAAAGGTAGGTTTCAGATTTGATCTGGATTAAGGAAGGGGTCCTGATTCGAGTTGAATATGGTCTAATGGTGAAGATGTGCTATTTTGTGGGAGGTTTGAGGTCAGCCTCAATCTGGAGCTCTCCTTCAGGTGAGGATCTGGGGAGGGTTTGAAATCTTAGCATATGATATGATATCATCTGGCTGGGAAATGAGGCCTCTCCCTTCCTAACTTTCCAAAAATCTTCCCAGTTGGAGAGAACTCAGGAGCTGAATGTGAGACTCGCTCTTGGAAGCCAGAGGAACTCCATTGGGAGAGGGCTCTGTAGCTTTGGGGAGGGGCAGGGAGAGATTCCAGTAAAAGTCCTGAAAGACAGAAAAGGCTGGGAGAGGTTGGAGAGGAGGGAGAAGAAAGAATGGAGTATGGAATATTTGGGGACCATCCTGAGGGAGCTGAAGGGAATATTGAAGAAGTTTTAACAAGCTGAAAGACTGAGGCTGGGGCCGAGCTATTGTGGCTCTGACAGCCAGCTCAGCTTCACCCCTCCCCGGGGCCTGAAGCAGCCATGCCTTCTCAGAATCTAACCCTCATCCTTCATACTGCAACTGAATCCCCCATCCCTTCCTGCGACCTGTCCCATAGGGGATGGAGACCGGAAGCTGACTGCCGAAGAAGAGGAGGCCCGGAGAATTGCAGAGATGGGGAAGCCGGTCCTGGGTGACAACTGTCGCCTTGAAGTCATCATAGAAGAATCTTATGACTTTAAGGTGATGGATGCATTGGGGCGGAGCCTGGGGACACAGGGTAAAAGAGCAGGGAGTCCTGGAGATGAAGGGGCAGGGGAGCTGGAAGCTGCCAGTGTGTCTGCCCCTCTAGCAGTACCATGGAGAGCTCCCATAGTCACTCCCCTTCTGGTTGAAGCTGGAACTGGGGGGAGTGGGATGGAGACTTGAGTTCTATAGGACCAACGTGCTGCCTCCTTTCCCTCAGAACACAGTGGATAAGCTCATTAAGAAAACAAACCTGGCTCTGGTAATTGGCACCCATTCCTGGAGGGAACAATTTCTAGAAGCCATCACCGTCAGTGCAGGTACCACTTGCCCTGTCTCCCCACTTCCTCCACCCCGCCCCAAGATTAGGAAACAGGAGAGAAGAGAGAGAGACAGACAGACAGACAGAGAAACAGACAGAGACAGAGAGATAGAGACAGAGAGAAGAAACAGAGAGACAGAAAAATAAGGAGATGGGGGAGATAAAGACAGGAAAGAGGGAGGAAAAGAAAACAGAAAAGAGAAAGAGTGAGAAGGGGGTGGGAGTCCAGGATCCCTAGAGCCTAGCAAAAGCTCTGCCCCTGTTCGATATTGGGCAAATATGTTTGGATCTTGGTTTAGTCCAGACTTGTGTCTGGGCCTTGGTTTCTTTCTCTTTGAAATGAGGGAATTGGACTTGGTGGTGTGCTACTCTGGCATCTGACATTCTGTGAGTACAGGCAGATGGGGTGGGGCAACAATGATATAGAGAGGGAAGGGATTGAAGTGAAGGCTTCTCAAGGACTGGAGCTTGGAGATGGGCTGGGCACCACTGTGTTTCAGTTATTGGGGTGAGACCTCGAGGCTGGCCTCAGTAGCATCAGGGACAGTTGTCCTTCCAACATGTCCTCCTCCCCACTGTTCTCCAGGAAGACTTCAGAATGGCAGTGTTGCCCCTCTTTCCCAGGGGACCAGAGAGTAGGAGTGTTCCTGAGTGTCACCCTCTTCTAAATCGTCATCCCTGATCTCCAATTAGAAGGAAACTAGGGTTAGGAGATGGGATGTGGAGATGACAGAAAAAAGACAAAGGGGTCTAAAACAAATTAAAGTAGCCAGACTTAGTAGAAACCAGGCAATGGGGATTAAGAACAATAAGGTAATGGAGACGGGACAAAATGATGCCTAATAGATGGTCTTAGAAATGACATCTAGGAGAAAGAAAAGAGAAGAGCCCCGACAATGAGGTGAGGAACACCCAGAAGATGGAGCCCACCACCCCTGCCCTCTGATGAGGCTTGTCCTGTTGTGTAGGGGATGAGGAAGAGGAGGAGGATGGGACAAGGGAGGAGCGGCTGCCCTCCTGCTTTGACTACGTGATGCACTTTCTGACCGTCTTCTGGAAGGTGCTGTTTGCTTGCGTCCCCCCCACCGAGTACTGCCATGGCTGGGCCTGCTTCGGAGTCTCCATCTTGGTCATTGGGCTCTTGACTGCCCTCATCGGTGACCTGGCTTCCCACTTTGGCTGCACAGTTGGCCTCAAGGACTCTGTCAATGCAGTAGTCTTTGTGGCCCTTGGGACATCCATCCCAGGTACTAAGGCAGAAAGCAAGGAGGATGAGAGGGGAGGGGCATGGATGGAGGGAGATAGGGGAGAGAAGGAAACCAAGGAGGCAGACAGACTGAGACAGACACATAGGGAGAGGAGGGACTTAAGGAAGCAGAGACTGAGAGACAGAGTAGCTGAGGGGGGAGAAGACCAGGAAAGAAGAAGGAAGGATTGAGGGAGACAGACTGAGGGAGAAATTGAGAGTCTGAGATGGGGAGACTGAGAGGCAGATGCCCAGAGGGAGACAGAGGCAGAGGGAAAGAAGATGGAGGAATGGGGAGATGGGGAGACCCAGAAGGCAGAAGAGAGAGGCTAGGGAAGAGATGAGAGCAGGGCTGGGGGACGGCTGTGAGCTCCCTGGGGGGGCCTGACAGCCTCTTTCCACCCCCCTCCTGGGGCAGACACGTTTGCCAGCAAGGTGGCCGCCCTGCAGGACCAGTGCGCTGACGCTTCCATTGGCAACGTGACTGGATCGAACGCGGTGAACGTCTTCCTAGGCCTGGGCGTAGCCTGGTCGGTGGCCGCTGTCTACTGGGCGGCCCAGGGCAGGGCCTTCGAGGTGCAGGCCGGAGCCCTGGCCTTCTCCGTCACGCTCTTCACCATCTTCGCTTTCGTGGCCGTCTCAGTCCTGCTGTACCGCCGGCGGCCCCACATCGGGGGCGAGCTGGGGGGGCCCCGAGGGCCCAAACTGGCCACTGCAGCCCTCTTCCTAGGCCTCTGGCTGCTCTACATCCTCTTTGCTAGCCTGGAGGCCTACTGCCACATCCGGGGCTTCTAGAAGATGCCTCTGCTGCCACCTCTGGGCAGCCCTCCTGCCCTGCCCATCCTAAGGATCTATGACCACACCCAGGGCTCCTGGGGTGGGGGTGGCACAATACAATCCCAGGGAGCCCTGTCCTCATGCCTGGGTAGCTACTGCCACACCCCTGGCTTCTAGGGCCCCTCCCCCAGCTCTGGAATGCTCTGCCCTCGCCCTTGGGGAAAATCCTCCTCCAGGGAGCCCTCTCCCTTCTCCCTTCCTAAGGATATTGCCATATCCTCCATCCTCTCCTTCCAGGCTGGGATTCTCACGCCAAGCTCCAGAGACAGCACCTCCTCCTGGGCCCCTAGGAATACAGCCTCCTCCAGGGAGCCTGCCCAGCATTCCTGACCAGAAGAGCTACTGCCGCAGCTGGGCACTGCCCAGAGCCGCCCTCCCCTCCCCGTTCCTCCCCAGGCTCCCTTGCAGGGAGATCTCCCTGTCCTCAGAATACTGCCAGGCTTGGGCTCCCAGGCCGCCCTGCCCACGGAGGCCTCCTGACCACCTTGTGTCCAAGCCATAGCTTCCAGCCCCTCCTCCATGCTCTGCTCTCCCCCTCCCCCCCCCCCCGCCCCGCACCACCTCCAGGGAGCTCAGCTCTGTTTCATAGCCCAAGAACCTACTGCCACCCACTCAGTCTTCTGGGGATTCGCGTTCAGAGAGTGTATCTGTTGGCTCCTGAAGGGACCAGAGACTCCTTCCCCCAAGGCCCCCTTCTAAAGAGTCATGTCCTCATTCTCACCAGCCTTAGAGCCCAGGGTTTTGGGGAACCCTCTTGGGGCTGCCTTCTCCGGCGAGTTCCCCAGCTCCTGGGACTGCCCTGCTCCTGTCTTATTGTGAGTCCTTGGTCCCTCTCCCACTCCCTGACCTGTGGACGCCTCTCTGGGTGGGGTGGACAGAGCCCTCATGCCCGGAACCAGGAGCTCTGGCTTCTAGTGCCCTCAGACTCAATATATGACCTGGGGCCAGTCTCTTTTCTCCTTGAGGGAATTGCGGGGCCCCTCCTTATCTGGCTCCTGCCCTGCTCAGGCCAGGGCAGGATGGGGATGACTCAGGCCCGTGACACCTGGGGATTGGAATGCACTTTGCGCCTGCAACTTCGAACATTCCAGGGGCCCCTGCTTGTCCTGCTACCTCTGGGCCCCGGCTGGGAACGGGGGAGGGGTGCAGGGGTGGGGGTGTATATAGTGTGGGGGGCGGGGTGGGTGGGAGGGCTGCATGATTGCGGGGGGGTTGGGGGGACAGACTCTCTGCAGGGGTGGGGAGGGAGGGAGGGCAAGAGCCCTCCAGGTTTGTCCCCTCCCCCTCTGGATCAGAGCAGTGGAAGGGGAAATGGGGCAAAGAGGCCCAGAGACAGGGCAGGACCAAGGCACTAGGACCGGAGAAGGCCCTCCCCACTTGCATACCCATATATACTCCCTCCCTGAAAACTGCCCTCAAAGGAAAACCGGAGGGCCAGAAGGGACCAATGCTATCAGACAGCTGGAGCTGCCATGTCCCTGCCCACTGGGGGGGGGGGGGCTCGGGGGAGGAGGTCCTGTTTTTAACTAACTTTGGAGGCTTTATGTCTGTTGGTCTTCTGCATTTTCTTACTGTGGATTTTGTTTCAACCCCCTCCCCAAGATATCTGGGGTCAGAAGGCCCTAAAGTGGGGAGGGGGAGAGTTCGGGGCTGGAGAGAGGGTTCCGGGTTTACCAGGACCGTTGCCTCTGCCTTCTCTCTCCTCCTGTGCCCCACCCTGTCTCTTCCTCCCTCCTTCCCCATCTGTGATTTCTGCAAAAGTTGACATAAAACTTTGGAATTCTGCCTGTGAGACGCCATCTTTGGGGGGCGGGAATGAGGACGAGGGCAAGGACCAGGAAGGGACCTGGGGCCTCTTTTGGCCACCCCCATCACCTTTACTAGCTGGACAGTCGAGTAGGAAAGATCAAGATAAATACCCAAGTCAAGGATAAAAAAAGCCCCCAAAGAAACCCCCTTCCCCCCAAGCATACCTGGTCACAGTCATCGTTTAGCTAAACGCACCCACCTGCTAGAAGCCATGCCCACATTCTAACTAGGTGAACCCTAGTCTAGCTGTTTGCACTCAGATCTCACTAGCTGCAGCCAGCCCACTAGCTGGGACCTCATAGAAAAATGTCCCACCGGCTCTTAGCACTCCTAGAGGCACCTGTTGGTGTTGTGGGAGGAAGAGCTCTCTGGATTACCTGGCTCAAACCCCCATTAGCCCTCCTAGGGTAGTGCAAGTCTCCTAATTGGCCTTCCTGCCTCTCTGTTCTTCAGTCCACCCTTCACATAGTCACCAACGTGGTTTTCCTAAGCACAATTCTGATCCTGTCTCTCTCTCTCTCTCTCTCTCTCTCTCTCTCTCTCTCTCTCTCTCTCTCTCTCTCACTCACACACACACACACACACACACACACACACACACACACACACACCTGCTCCTGTGATTCCCTGTTACATCCAGGATTAGGCTTCCATTCCTCAGTTTGACACTTAAAGCTGGCTCCAACCCACCTTTCCATCCTTGTTACCCATCACACCCCCTTCTCACTTGCTGGAGTCCCGCCAAGCTGGCCTCCTGGTTGTTTCCCCATCTCCCATCTCAATGTCTCTGCTGTGCGCTCATGCCCCCATCCTGTTGGAATGCTCCTCCTGTTCACCTCAAAGCTCAGCTCAGAGGCCCATTCTTGATCATCCCAGCTGCAAGGACCCTGCCCCAGTTACCATATATTTACGTGCAGGTTTTTAAAAATAGACTTATCTACGCACACGTTATCTCCCCACATTGAATGTAAACTCCTCGAGGATACTTCTGTCTTGTGTCCTCAGTTGCCGGCTCAGTGCCCGGGACAAAGTAGGGCCCCAGAAATGCTTGTCTTATTCATTGAATTTTCTCCACTCCCACCTCCATCGCTATGGAATTGAATTCTGAACCAGGAAAGTGTGGAACAGAGATAAAGAGAATTAGGCTCCAAGGCATACCTGTTGCTCAGCCATGCCCCTGCCCTACATGATTTCTCTCTAGAACAGAGCCGGCATTTGGGGGGCTGGGGGTTCAGAGAGCAGGCCATTTAGGGGAGGAGGAGAGAGACTCCGCCAGTGCTCTGGGAGGGTCAAGGTTGAGTGACCTCTGCAGTGTGCAGGTTCAGGTTAGAGTCAAGGGAAGCACTCCCCAGAGGAAAGGGAAGGTTGGGGGGCAGACACTGGGGCCCCCAGGGATTCCTTTCCCAAGGCTGCATTTCCTCCCAGCCCACAAGAGGGCCCCTGGACCACAGGAATCAGGGATATAGAATTCATTGTGACATCCCATGCCTTTTTCTTAGTCATCAGTCTTCTTGAGCTCTCTGCTACGCTTGACTCAGTCGACGACTCCACTTTTTATTATTTTGAATTTAACAAATGTTAAAAAAGATTTCTACATACAAAGTAGGACAGAAAAAGAGGACTATGAATGAAAATTATATGTGAATCTTTATTATGTAGAGCTTGCTTTTAAAAAGTATATAATAAATTCAGTCTGTAACTTTCCAAGTTGTCCTGCTCCTCTGTGATTCTTTCTAGCCTTCCTTCTGCTCTCTCTTGTGCATTTAAAAATGCACAAGTGGCCCTCTTTCCTTTCTTGTCTTGTCTTTGATGCTATAGAGCTGTCTTTGACCATGTGGGTCACTCTCTTCTCTAGGTTTTTGTAACCTTGTTCGCTCCTAGTTGTCCCACCTAGCAGACCACATCTTCTTTGCCTTCTTGGCTGGATCTTCATCCACTTCATGATTGATAACTGGGGGCAGAGGGGTCTCCCAAGACTCTCTCCTGAGCCAATTTATCTTTTCTCTATATATAATCAGCTCCCATGGATTCAATTGTCATCTCTATGCAGATGACTTAGATCTACTTGTCCAGTCCTAATTCCTCTCCTGACCTCCACCACACATCTCCTACTGTCTATTGGACATCTCCAACTGGATGTCCCATAGACATCTTCAACTCTACATTTGAAAAACTGAAGCCATTAGCTCTCCCCCCAAAACTTTACCCAGCTCTCTTATTATTGTTGAAGGCATCACGATCCTCCTCATCAACTAGATTCAAAACCTAGGTGTTATCCTTGACTTATCACTCTCCCATGTCCTACCCGCTCCAATATCCCATCCAGTATCAAATACTTTTGATTCAGCCTTTGTAATATCTCTCCTATATACTCCCTCCTCTCCTCTGACACTGAAAGTAGCTTGCTACAGGCAGGCCTCGGCTACTATAGTAGCCTGCTGGTTGATCTTCCTGCTTTCTTTCTTTCTTTCTTTCTTTCTTTCTTTCTTTCTTTCTTTCTTTCTTTCGGCAATTGGGGTTAAGTGACTTGCCCAGGGTCACACAGCTATTGAGTGTTATGTGTTTGAGGCTGGATTTGAACTCAGGTCCTCCTGACTCTGGGGCCAGTGCTCTATTCACTGCGCCATCTAGCTGCCCCGATCTCCCTGCTCTCTTCACTCCATTAAAAAAATTCCAGTGACTCTCTATTACCCCCAGTATTGATTATAAAATCCTCTGATTGGGTTTCAAAGCCCGTCATAACCTGCGCATTCACATGAAATATTTTCACATTAGCCATTTGTAAAAAAAAAAAACAACACAAAAACCCCCACCAAAACCACAGACCAAAAAACCCCAAGAATAATAAAGAAAGCAAAAAAAAAATTTTACTTCAATCTTCATTTAGACTCCAGCAGTTCTTTCTATCATTTTTCATCATAAGTTCTTTAAACCACCGTATTGCCTAGACTAGCTAAGTCATTCACGAAATTGCTGTTACTGTGTACAATGTTCTCCTGGTTCTGTTCACTTCACTCTGCGTTAGTTCATATAAGTCTCTTTTCTAAAACTATCCTGCTCCTCATTTCTCATAGCACAATAGTATTCCATTGTAACAATATACCACAACTTGTTCAGCCATTCCCCAATTGATGGGCATCCCCTCCAATTCTTTGCCAGCACAAAAAAGAGCTGTTATAAAAATCATTATACGTATAGGTTTTTTTTTTAATTTTTCTTTTATCTCTTTGGGGTACAGACATAGTAGTGGTATGCCCAAAGGCATATGTCTGAAGGACTATAGCTCCAAGTTGTTCTCCAGAATGGTTGCAATGGTTCACAGTTACACCAATAGTGTATTAGTGTTCATAATTTTCCACATCCCCTCAAACATTTATCATTTTCCTTTTCTGTCATATTAGTCAATCTGATAAGTGTGAGGTGGCACCTCAGAATTGTTTTAATTTGCATTTCTCTAATCAATTGTGATTTAGAGCAGCTTTCCATGTGACTATAGATAACTAATTTTTTCTTCTGAAAACTACCTGTTCATATCCTTTGACCATTTATCAGCTGGGGAATGACTTGTAATCTTATAGATTTGACTCGGTTCTCTATATATTTGAGAATTTAGGCCTTTATCAGAGAAGCTTGCTGCAAAATTTCCCCCAGTTTCCTGCTTTCCTTCTAATCTTGTCTGCCTTGGCATTGTCTGTGCAAAACCTTTTTAATCTGATGTAATAAAAAATATTCATTTTACATCCTGTAATGCTCTCTATCTCTTGTTTAGTCATAAATTCTTCCCTTCTCCACAGATCTGACAGGTAAATGATTCCATGCTCTCCTAATTTGTTTATGGTATCTCCCTTTATATCTAGATCATGTACTCATTTGGACCTTATCTCGGTATATGGTGTGAGATGTTGGTCTATACCCAGTTTCTGCTGCACTGTTTTCCAGTTTTCCCAGCAGTTTTTGTCAAATAGTAAGTTCTCGTCCCAAAAGCTTAGATCTTTGGGTTTATCAAACACTAGATTACTATGGTTATTTGCTACTGTATATTGTGTACCTAATCTATTCCACTGATCCGCCATTCTATTTCTTAGCCAGTACCAGATCATTTTGATGATCACTACTTAGTAATACAGTTTGAGATCCGGTACTGCTATGCTACCTTCTTTCACATTTTTTCCCATTGATTCCCTTGATATTCTTGACCTTTTGTTCTTCCAGACGAATTTTATTTTTTTCTGGCCCTATAAAATAATTCATTGATAGTGTGATTGGCATGCTACTGAATAAATTAATTTGAGCAGAACTGTCATTTTTATTATATTGGGTTGGTCTACCCGAGA